AAATATCATTAGCGATTTTTTCCAAAAAAAATCGACCCCACCACTGGATTCAGCATCCTTCATTTAGGTTGAGCGGGAAATTTCATTGAAAAATATCAATTGGCAACAAAGTTATAACAACATTAATTTTGATTGCTCACCATTTTTATGATTATTTCAGACAAATTCTGAGAAGCGGCAACATTGTCAACACAAATGAAAAATCCATAACGTCGAAAAATCGGCATTGTTCATGCAAGTAATTATAGTAAGAAAATCGGATAGTCTGTATAATAAGATGATATCAGAAGCCAAAAACATCAAGAGCTTTCAGAAATTGTTGGTGTTCATTGATAATTAACTCATTATGAAAAGCTGTTTTTCCGACTTCATTACTTCATTCCAAAAGGGTACCATTCTAGAGATTATAAATCGATAATAATTTATGTTTTCATTTCAAATGTATACCAGAAACCTCGATGATTTATGTTGACAATGTTGCCGCTTCTCAGAATTTGTCTGAAATATTCCTAAAAAATGGTGAGCCATCAAAATTAATGTTGTTATAAATTTGTTGCCAATTGAAATTCTTCAATGAAATTTCGCGCTCAACCTAATTGAAAGATGCTGAATTCAGTGGTGGGGTCGATTTTTTTTTTGAAAAAATCGCTAATGATATTTCGCAATTTTTAACTGGGAAAAAAATGATATAGTATGCCCTGTAGATTGAAATTTTATTTTGCAAATTTGTGTGAACGTAGATCTCCAGATAGTTCTTCTGCTGAAACGAAAAAAATAGAAATCGGTCAAAAACTATAGATTTTATGAGGGTGCTCCGGTCTTAAATGGGTCACACTGTATATCAATCAATAATGACCGGCAGACAGAATATAATGAATCTATTCTTATCTTTGACTTTTTGAAGCGTTCATTTACATTTTGGGCTGCAATTCTCACAAAAATGTAAATCTGCCAATTCTTACAAAAATGTAGATATTCATAGCTCAATTTTCTAAATCATAATTCTAGGTGTATCTGTAGATTAAGTATCCCTCATACAAGGTAGCCAGGTCATTTTAATCGTATTACTTTTATAGAAGTCGGATTTTTCCACAAATTCGAATGGGACTGAATGTAAATAATACAATTAGTTCATCAAAATTGTCAATGCATGTATAATAAGCATATTATTTTTCGAGTGATCGCTTTGTTCTGCTGTTGAATAACTGTTATAACAAATCTGTGTTCCCTAAATAATAGGATGATTGTCAACAACTTCGTGGCATGCAATATTTATATGCAAAAAAATCAACAAGGATGTGATAAGTATCTAACAGAAGTTTGATTCTGCAACATTTCATAGAAGCTAAGGAGGTTGTTATTTGATTGATGAAAATACATTTGGATCAACTACGAGTTTGAGATGGAAGTATACTTGCCGGTTTTGCAACAAACGCAATCTACTGATCTGGACGATAAGAATAGTTATTTTCCTAACAAGTGCGCAAAGTGTTAATTTTCCGCACGCAAATAAGTTTAAATATATAACTTATTGAAAAATGTAACTATACAAAAATCACATATACAATAAAATATAATAATAGAAAATCACATTTTCCCTACGAGCAACATATCAGATAACAACGAAAATAAAAAAATATCAACTAAAATTACAATTTATTGAATAATTTTTAGTTGAACTTGATAGAAATTACTAAACAACAAACAATTACATATCAATGAAATATAATGATAAAAAATTGAATATTCTGTTCCTCATATTTATATTGTGATGAAATACAAATATCGGGAAGAACGGTTGAAAAGTAAAAGGGATAACGGCTTTTTATAGTGCATACAATAGTCTACAGCAACTAAAATGAATATAAATGTTCCATACCAGTGAGATTTTTGGGTAGTTGTGCGGATAACACCCATATCCGCACTGAGTGCGGAAAAGTATTACTTTGCGCATACAAATGAGTGCGAAAAAGTACTACTTTGCGCACGCTCGTAGGAAGAAGAAGTATAAGGGTTGAATGCCAGGCAGTCTCTAGAGTCAACAGAAACATTTAAAATTTGCAAAATGAGTTTGCGAATAGATTCTATCACTGACTGGGAGTTAATGAAGTCAACTTTGAAAATTTGTTGTGGAAAACCATTCAATAATTCATTGAGTACATTCAATTACTCACAATTGGAAAAGATAACATTTGAACTCGAATATCTCGAGAACGCCTCGTTAGAATTGAAAGAAAAAAACTTTGCACTGCTAGTGTCAGAATTGAATTACCTTTGCAATGATGTATTACACTTATTTCCTATTCAAAATAAAAATCGACTGGTTGTTTAATTTCTTTGAAAAATCAATTTTCCTGGGAGATATCGAGGAAGGATAGTATCACGATAGTAGAACACTCGGTATACTGGTAACACTTCGAACCATGAGGGTTCTGTAAACATGGAGGTAATTAAATCATCCATTGACATTGAACTATGGATACTGACCAAGAAACTCTCAAGTCTAATGAAATGATGTAAGTATATAAATGTTCGATATACAGGTTCCGAAGGGAGTTTGGTCTGGGGCTACTCTTGACTTGACAACCCTGATAGCACACAACGTCCTAGGGACGTCCCTATTTGGTACAATCCACGTCCGAATGTCCCGAACCAAAAATAAGTGTCCTTGGGACGTCCCATCCCGTACATCTCATGCAACGTCCGAGCAAGGACGTCCACGGAATGTCCCAGCTGGTACATCATTTCAAATGTCCTAGAAATAGCATCCCTTAGACGTCCCACGTGGTACATATTGTTAAATGTCCATGCAAGGACGTCCTAGGCATGTCCTTGATAGGATATGATTTTAAACGTTCCTTTAGGGACATCCATCGGATGTCCCAAGTAGTACCAGAATATGTACTACTCCAGACCTCAGATCTTATATAATGTCCCTTCTAGACAACCATGAAATGTCCCTGATGGTACATTCCTTCAAATATCTCTGCACAGACGCCCTTAATATTTCCAGGATCGTATAACAATCGAAATGTCCATCAGGAATATCCGTCGGATGTCCCAAAATAACGTCCTATAGACGTCCCAGTCGGTACTTTCAATATGTTGTCCCTGCGAGGACGTGAACTTACACCTTGCCAACGAATGATTGCTCGTAGGCTATAAGTACTCCTCGTCAATGTCCTTCACGTAAGTCCATTGGACATCCTTGGGAAACTTTCTGGGGACCTTCTACGGACTATCAACAACTTCAATACTCCCATACTTCCCTCAAGGACGTCCCTAGTTGGTCCTCAAGTGGGACATTTGTGCGTCCCACAGACGTCCAATGGAAGTCCACGGTACCAAATTCGAACGTCGTATGGACGTCCTGAATGTCCCGACAGGACGTCCTAAGTATATCCATGGGACATAATTGTGTTATTAGGAAAGAGCTCGTCGTAATGGTCATTATAATGTAGGTTGTTATTAGGTCTTTATATTTATTGTTGTTGATTCATATTTTTCATTACTACCCATAATGTTTCATGCTTTAATACATATTGTTGTGTTTGAATATACTCTCAGTTACTCCTAGACTATTAGTGCCTATTTGAATTATCCCTCGCAAACAATCAGTTACCCCTAAAATATCAGTGCCTATTTGAATATTACCTCTCGTAAACCATCAAGCCAAGCAAACCCCTTTTAAATCGATATGGGTGAAATACCAACCCCATGCTGTGACATAGTGAAAGTCCTAACGCTTTGTCATAGCATGGTGAAAACAACCCCTTTATCGTGATCATAGTCTCAAATGAACCACCCGGTATGTGTATAATCATAAAAAAATAATTTTAATATTTCGGAATGAATTTATTGAATTAGCTTGAGCTCCTGATTGCATTATACATATTAATCCACTCAGTCATTCATTCATTCATTCATTCGCACGTGTTTAATAAATAGTTAATTGGAATTTATATGAGCTATCACAATGTAGTAGATAAAAGCGATATTCTAATACGGTCCCCAAATCAACACGTACAATAATTCTTGTCTTATAAAAAACGTCGCAAATCTACTTCCGTTATTTTTCATCAGATTAAAAAAAAATTAAATGTTGCGAAAAACAATATCGACTGGTGTCAAATGGACTATGAACAATTTATTTAGGACATACTAGAATCATATTTTCTGGAAAATGTTTAGGTTTGAAAGAATTTCTTCACAATATTTAATCGATGAATTTTCCTTCAGGATTAGGGATTGTAGATAAGTTCAGTAAAATAAACACTTGATCTGTAGATGTGGGACTTGCTATAAGCAAATGATTACAATAAGTATCTACTACGGCCTTCCGGCCTCGATAATATCACAAATAATAATAATAATTAGTTCACAAGGTGAACGATTCGAATATAATCTGGCAGATTTCTCAAAAATTGGAGATATTTCGAAAGGAAATTATCATATAGGAAGCTTTGAGTTTGTCAATTTTCATATCTCTTTTTTCTTCACCCGTGAAAGCCATTTTCGTCAAAAATACAGTAACATACAAAATTAGCAAATGTCATTAAGTGTGACAGTTTGAAAGTGAAACGACAAACTCAATGCTTCCTATATATGGTAATTTGTTTATCAAAATATCTCCAATTTTTTTTCAAAAGAATGGCAGCTTGTAATATACCATTCAAAAATTCATATTTCCGAAAAACACCTTGTAACACTGAAACGATGATAGATATCGATATGAAATTTTCACCATTGACAACATCAATTTTGTTCTATCTAGTACGGGAATAGGAGTTTCCCTTCAAAAGTGTCCAATTTGGCCCACCCTGTACATAGCCCACTCACCTCTCGTACCGTATTACCCCATCTTATTTCTTAATACGAATATAATACATCCAAAAACGCCTTCTAGAGGATTTGCAAGTTTTGAAAATATACTCCTCTTGGAATTGATAATTTTCTTGCTTTCGTACTTTCGTTGATATTCATTTTCATTTTATTTCCAGATGAGGGAGAAATTAACACTCTACTTATTGGACTGCCTATTTTCCGTTGTGATCGTGGGCACCCTAATAGTTTTCGTTTGGAGAGGTCTGTGGCTAATAGTGGATATCCTTCTTTATCCAGAAAATGAAGAGTTATCCTCTTGGATCAGTATGGTGAGTTATCAACATGCCACTATGGTTAATCTCCAATGAATTCCATTGTTCATAAGTAATCAATCCGAGCGGTGAGTACTTAGCCATTTTCTGTACCCCAGGAGGCAATGAATGCCCCAATCTAACGAAACTGCCCCGCAATGCCTCTTATTTACTCAACAATGCCCGCCGATGTTCAACATTGTCCCTCAATGCCTATAACATTGCGCCTCAATACCCAACAATCTCAATATTACCCCGCAATACGAATAAACCTATATCTCTTTTCATTGCATGAGTTGAAAAGAGACGAGTTCTATTGAACAAGGAAGAACGCTTCTTATGTCTCCTACATAGTTTCCATAATTTATTGTCATGATAAATTATCTAATTTGACAAAAATCAATGGATACTACTACTACAAGCAGTCTTATTTGTTAAAAATATATGTTTATATCAATGAAACATAAACAATTGAAGCTCATTTGCGAGAACAACCAAGGACTAGGTATTTGAGGAACAAGTTTTTCCCATATTTTTTAGTGATCTCATTTGTGAAAAAGTGATTTTTATATGGAAATATACTATAATAATAATGATAATAATAATAATATTTATTCAATTCAATCCATCAATAATAACATTTACAAACCATTAATAATAACTTTCACAAACAAGAATAACATTTGTATCTGTCTGTAAAAGGTCTTTACAAAAACATTCCACATATTCCTCAGACCAAAATAAGTCGATTTAGGTGAAATTACCTTAGTACAAAGTTGCATCGTTTGGGCTCCAGAGGGCCATGAAGTTACAATTTTTCAATCGTTTTTCCCATATAAATTTAAAACGGCATATGGGATTTTGCTGAAATTTGGTATATTGATAGAGTTTTATGTGGCAAAAAAATGGTGTTAAATTTTTGTCCGATATTAATCCATAGGCGTAGAACTCGATTCTTTTAATAATTGCACCTTTAACAATTCTACGCCAATGGAATAAAAGGAGTTTGAGTATGAAATTTAGATTGCGCAACTCATTCACATTAAAGAAGGTACCCTTGATGGGACTCGATTACTCTCATGGTTTTCGCAAAATTTCTGTTTAAATATTTTAAAGTGTATAGGTTTCACAAAAATAGTTATTTACAACATAATCAAAATAAATAGAGATTTTACAAAAATTGTTCAAAATGTTCACCATTTTCACGCATACAAAGATTTATACGTCGGAGAAAATTAATAATAATACATAGGCGTCGTTTTTCCCATATAAATTTAAAACGGCATATGCGATTTTGCTGAAATTTGGTATATTGATAGAGTTTTATGTGGCAAAAAAATGGTGTTAAATTTTTGTCCGATATTAATTCATAGGCGTAGAACTTGATTTTTTAAATAATTGCACCTTTAAAAATTCTACGCCAATGGCAGGAAAGGGGTTTGAGTATGAAATTTGGATTAGGTACTCATTTACTACAAAAAAGTACCCTTGAAAACACTCGATTTACTCTCATGGTTTTGACAAAGTTTGTATTTTAATAATTATTGTTTATGTTCTCAAATTACTGAAATGCAAATTTCGTCAAAACCATTAGAGCAATCGAGTCTTATCAAGAGTACCTTTTTCAAAGTAAATGAGTTGCGCAATCTAAATTTCATACTCAAACTCCTTTTCTTCCATTGGCGTAGAATTTTTGAAGGTGCAATTATTTAAAAAATCAATTTCTACCCATATGTATTATTATCGGACAAAATTTTAACACCATTTTTTTTTGCCACATAAAACTCTATCAATATACCAAATTTCAGCAGAATCGCATATGCCGTTTTGAATTTATATGGGAAAAACGATTCAAGAATTGTAACTTCAAGGCCCTCTTGAGCCCAAACGATGCAACTTTGTACTAATATACGACTTATTTTGGTCTAAGGAATATGTGGTATGTTTTTGTAAAGACCTTTTACAGACACCCTGTATAAGGGATTAATTACAAATGAAAAAATGGAAATTATTAATAGGAATACTGAATGTTGATATTGAAGTGATTTCAATCGAATAAATAGAGATTTACCCAAAAAAGCTCTCGAGGAGCTTGTCTATGGTAGTTTACTACTATTCACTTACAAATAATTTCCACAATTGTAATGAATTCGCCTATAGTTAGTTACTCTCTAATGAAAATAAGAATAAGATATTATTTTATCCGATTTGAGAGATGAAGTCAATTCTCAGTTTCAGAGGATTTTCATTTTTGATGCTCTCTTTTCGAATGTTCAACAGATATAATCCAATGTTCGACGTGGCAAATAGCTAGGAAAATAGTTATTTTCTGTTGAATATCCAGAATTATATTGTATGCATATCTTTATATGAAGGAGAATGCAAATTCTCTTTTTCAGAAGATTTTGTTTTCAAATTCTTATCGTGTATGTTCAATAGATGTAATTCAATGTTCGTTGTGGCATATAGCCAGGAAAGTAGTTGTTTTCTGCTGAATAAACCGAGAAAGAATTGATATTTCCATCACATAGAGAATGCGAATTCTCAATGTATTTCTTTATATATATCCATTTTTTTATGTTCATAATTTATCTGAGAATATTCCTTTTCAACATTTATGACTGATTGTTTCATATGCAGCTTTCGTGTCTCCCTTCAGAAACGGTCCCATCTATATCTCAGCTACTAGTCGTGCGATTCTTACCAAATTTGGACCGGTATGAATAACCATCAGTTTTCCAGAGACGATCATCATTTTGAACAGTGTCGTGCATTTTTATTGAAATGAAAATGGGTCGATTTTTCATGGAATCATAATATGAGGACCAGATAATATTGTTCTTCATGGTATCAAACTTTCATGTGTGAATTTTTTCAATATTTCTTTGAAGGGTTTCAAAAAAGTAGGACCAATCTAAAATTCTAAACAGCATTTTTTCAAACGTAAATTAGTTATTCATGTACCAAGGGCGAAACACTGTCTATTAAAGTCGAGTCTGCAAATTTATATCCGATGCCTCAGCCGAGGCTAGCAATCAGGCGAGTGCAGGATTCTCTGTGGGCGCCCATGTTTAGAATTCTTGACTGCGATGAGGTCATTTGGATCATTAAATTGATTCAAGGATTATACGAAAACTAAAATTGTAAAATTGCTAGACACACAATGGAGTAATAAAGATATGAATGCAGAGGAAGTCATCAATTTTCTCGAAAAGAAAACATTGTTCGTTTCTAATCTAATCGCCACTAAATTGGCATGGATTTTTTGAATCACATTCCATTCCGAATTGTTAGTTATGTAACATTGAAAATAACGATCAGCAAACTATAACATATTTTATCACGTATACCATAGACGACGAAGAGTGTTTCATCTATGCCTATACTATTATACAAAGTACAACGTGTTACACTTCTCGAGAAATCATCGCTTATAAATTCGAAGTTAGATGTAACAAAATAGTTATTTATGTACCAAAGACGAAACAGTATTTATTTTATGCTATACGAATTCGATCAAGAAAGGATAACGAAATAAACCTATAACGTCAAATCATCATGTACTTTTAGTAAACAGAAAAGTAACCTATCACCAACCCCGGTAGAACATCATCTTGGCTAGAACTTGCTCTCACATTAGCCCACTATTCGAATATTGAATATGGAAATACTAGATTGTCCCAATATCTAACCAATTGTTCATTTCAATATACGATCATCAATCCAGTGCCAATGTTCATGATGGGATGATATTGTATTTCCAATATCGAATCAATCTTGGAAACAAATATTGCATCAATATCCGATTTATGATGGTTAGTGAATATTGCATTTCATTGTCCAGCAATATCGCACTGATATTGGCTCTTTGATATCAAATAAATATAATGAAAATGATATCACATCTATACCATTTTTGAATTGATTTCAATATCGAATCAATATCATTAAAATAATATTCCTCCTATATTATGTTCGAGATGATTATTGGATATTGCATGATATTTGCTTCGAATATTATTTTCATATTTGTATTTTTCATCAAGCCAATATTAGTTTATCAATATAAGACCCATTTAAGATAAATATGAATAATGAAATATGTCAGAACCAATATTGCACTGATATCGGTTTTATAATATCAAATCGATATTAGTAATATTTATTTCTTTATTTGAGCGACGTTATAACAGGTGGTGCCACTAGCACGTCTCCAACAAACGACTGCTCAGAGGGATCAAATACTGCAGCATTCGTTTTACTTGGTATTCTGGGATACAGAGAATACCAATATCACAATTTATTTTTATGAGGCTAATATGGCTTCGAATTTCGAATCTGAATGTTGTAACGAAAACGAAATACAATATTGATAGAATATTATAATTCAACATAAAGATAATATTGCAAAATAATCACATCCTAATTTTGGCCAATATAGTAGGCAAATATGAATTCAATATCGAATTTACATATGGGAATTATAAGAAACCGGTTTCTATAAGTTGGCATAATATTTTTGTCCAACCTACTTGTATACGAATATAAACTCGATATTGGATAGAGCATATCGAGACAAGATTTGAATTTAACATGGCACCAAAATTCCAGAATGTTCACATTGATTTATTGGTCTAATATTTGAAATGATTATTTTCCCAATATTCACTCTTTATTGGTTCAATATTCAACCAATATTAGTGTTCTACCTGGGAACAAAAAAAAAAAAAACAAAACAAACATTATCTTACAAAAATAATCATATTCCTTATTCTCAATTCAAAAATACTCACAAATATCACAGAATACAGTCACAAATGTACTTATACTATTTTCTCCCTGCTGGTGAAGGTTTCCGAGGGACTAACTTTCTGATACAGTCGGTCTGGTTATTATATATACCTACTATCATGTGTGAAAAAAGTTGCGATATTTTGTTGTTCATTAGTTTTGTTTGAAGTGAAATCTATCATGAACATAAATTGAGAACCATCCGTATCCAGTTATAAACTCAAATAGATGAAAAAAATCAACAGAAACTTTCAATAATACGAAGTCTTGCATAGTAGAAAACCATCTATGTAACATATATATGATGTTGATGAATCTGCAAGGACACACCCTGGCACATAACACCACTTTTTAGGTGGAATTTTACCATAGAAATAATTATAAAACACAAGAACGAACACTGACTAAAATGACGAAACGTTGGCGCGGGCAGGCCTGTGACGTCATTCCACTACACCTTTTCCAGTGTATTTCAGGATGCGTCCATCATTGTATTGCAGAAAGCATCAATTGTATTGCAGAATAGTCATTCGAATTTCAGAAAGCGTCAATTATATTTCAGAATAATCAATTGAATTTCAGAAGTAGTAGTAGTAGTAGTAGTAGTAGTAGTAGTAGTAGTAGTAGTAGTAGTAGTAGTAGTAGTAGTAGTAGTAGAAGTAGTAGTAGTAGTAGTAATAGTAGGTGGGGAGGCTGTAGCCAAGCAAGTAGGCCCCGATGGGCCCTTTTTGCTAACCCCTGCTCTCCACATATCTACGCTTCCTTCACCTAGATTTCCTTTATGAATCTCCCTGACCTTCTGATGAAGGCCAGTATGTCCGTCCACTCTAATATAATCAAGTCCTCCTGTTGGAGTTTGTCTACTCCAAAGATTTCAAATCTCAGCCTTCCGTACGCCTCGCACTCGCCGAGAAAATGGAGTGACGTTTCCTCGTCTTCCCCGCATCTGCGGCAAGTGATGTTGTCCTCCTATTCCCATAAGTGATAGGTGTCTGCCTAGCCTGTTGTGTCCTGTGAGTACTCCTATGATGAGGCGGAGTACTTGACGGTCTCTGCCAAGCAGCCACTCCTTCCTTAATTTGCTTGGACCGGCCATGAATTCCTTGGCCTGCCTGCAACCTGTGATATTCCTCCAGTATTCTCCTAGTGCCTTGTCCGCCAATTCATCGAGGGGGCTGACGTAATTTTGCTCCTTGCTATACCTAGTGCAGGCTCCGGTCGCAGAAACGGCTCCGCGGATCCGGCCCTAGCAAGTTCGTCTGCTGTTTCGTTTCCGGGCATCCCACTGTGACCCGGGACCCATACCAGTTCAACTTCCTATGATTCGGCTAATATCTCAAGGGCATTTCCACATTCCTGTACCAATGCTGAGCTTGGTCTGGGATGACAGATAGCCTCGAGTGCTGCCTGACTATCCGAACAGATGTAGATCTTCTGCTCTGGTCCCTCTTTCACCTCTTGCCTCTCTGCTACGACCAGGATGGCGAACACCTCAGCTTGGAAAACTGTAGTGTACTTTCCTAAAGCATAGCTTTCTCGTGTGTTTCTCCCTTCGAGATAGATCCTTGCGCCCGAGGCCTGTTTGTCAGTCAGACGGGATCCGTCTATGTAACATACTAAGCTTCCTGGGCGAAACTGAATTGAATTTCAGAAAGTGTCAATTGTATTTGAGAAAATATCAACTGAAATTTAAATGACACTTCCTGAAATACAATTAACGCTTTCTGGAATTGTATTGCCTATTCTGAAATACAAGTTTCTATTCTGATATACAATTGACGCTTTCGATAATTGAATTGACGCTTTCTGAAATAGAACTGGAAAACGTGTAGTCTACTCAGTAGGTAATGTTGTCATCATACCATCACATTCATCATTGTTAAGTTCGATCTGTCCGATGTGTTATGATTGTGGAGATTCTGATGAGTTTTGAATCAGTCTGTTATTCCATTTGAGGCGAACATTCATCTGTTCTACATTTGAACATTTGAAATGAAGCAGTACACAAACTGCTGCATGTTTCAGTCAGCTAGAAATCTAGGAGTAGTCTAGAAGTAGAAAATGCATCTATCCCATACCTAGTCATTACAGTAGATGTCTTAGCCGTATAGTGATTATCAGGCTACAATCTAATACCACAATATTATAGCATCTAATTTTTTCAGGGTTTGGGCTATGCTTTAATGGCCTTCCTCCTGCTGTCACAACCCACCATGCGGTACTTGTGTGAAAGACTGAGCGGTACTACGCGAGTACTATTTGCCGATGCTGTGACGCTATTAGCGCTTTTCGGAACTGTCAATATTTGGAGAGGAATATGGAATTTACTGCCCATTTATTTCTTCTCAGGTGAGTAAGCATCATTACCCCAGTTCATTTATATATCTCCTTTATTTTTTTCATCTCTTGGAGCGCATGAAAAGAAATTCCTATGATGCTCGAAGCACATCGTGCACACCTATAGGGACGATAGGATGTTGGAATCGCATTCGAACTCTTGAAGGTTATAAGTTCTTGGGAATATTTTCATTGGCAGGTAATTCCAAAGCTTTGCCATCCTATAGACGAAGGACATTTGGTAGAATATTGTTCGACATATTTCAAGGTTGACCAATGTTCAAGGGCCTGTTGAATTCGGCTGACCGGTATTGCTAGTGATAAAATAATAGCAGAGATTTCTGAGGATCATTCTCTGTGGAAGTATCTATAGAAAAGTGAAAGATCGCCGACTTCTCCACGGTGTTCTAATGGAGTCGAAGTACTATAGTGAGTGTGGCATCACCCACCAGACGAATGGCTCTTCCCTGAATGGAATCTAAGGTCATCAGCGTACATTTGGGCGCATGATTCTCCCATGAAAGAGTATTGCTGATGGAAATACGAGACATTGTTATATCAGGCATACTGAGTTCCGCCCTTTCTATAGAAAATACAGGCTTGAGTTTTGGTGGCGTTGAATTCACTTAGGTTATTGGTAATTTCAGCAAGATCGTCATCGACAACGTTGACCTGCTGGCGTAGTAAGTTCTTGGTTTCCTGGAAAGAAATGGAAATTCTAGAGGAGAACGAAATATGGAGAGTAAAATCGTCTGCAAAGCTGTGGATAGATCGAGAGGTAGCTCCCAACACATCATTGATATGAAGTAGGAACAATGTTGAAGCCAAAATTGATCCTTGTGGAACGCCGGGATTTATGACAATGGTATCAGACGGTACTCCGTCCACTACCACATGGGGCGATCTGCCTGAAAGAAAACTCGTTGAGAGATGGCATAGCTGAGGTGATGAACCATATGATGGTAGTTTGTGGAGTACTCCTTGGTGCCAAAAACGGTCGAATGCCTTCGGTATATCCAACACTACAGCTAAAGATACCCCATGTTTTTTTATGTAGTTTGCCATATATGGGTGACATAGGCAATAAGTAAATCTCCGGTTGATCTTCGGTGGCGAAAGCCATATTCTCTATCATTAATGATTCCCAAGCTTTCCAGATATTTGATGAGCTCAATGTTGATAGCTTTCTCCATCACTTTAGAGATGACTAATAACATAGCGCAATCAGGGCCGTATTTAAAAAATACAGGCCCAATAGGCTCCACCTGTGGTGAGGATCCCTGGACTCGTGGAGCATCGGGGGATATGGAATACCCCCAATAGAAGAATGAAACGTCATCTTGATTGATATTTAAAACATACCATATATCCTACTTCATTCAAGCTATTTACCGTTCAATGTAGGTAGGTCTTCCATAGTAGGAATCAATTCTGACGTTTATATAGTACTACTACTACCTGGTACTATCTGAGATATCACAAAAACTTTCCTGACATACATAGGGCGTGAGTGTATCCCAAGGTTGGGAATTTAGGTCCAGGACATTCGAACGTGTATTGTCTCAAATCGTAAATTTTAATGTCCAAGAGACATTTTCTCATATGCTTCAATTTGCCTTCATTATGTAACTTTCCCATTGATTTTTTCCTTTAACCCCACAGATGATACGGAAATGTGCTGCTGGATAACCCATTGGGTGACTGTCATAGTCCTGATCCTTTGCGGAGCCTCCAACTCTCTTCTAGTCAAAGGTGTGGATATAGATGCAGAAGAAGAGGGAGGCGAATGCGTCAACTTCCAGATCTACTTCTTCAGATCGATCTACCACAAGAAGAAACAGAAATGGAAGCCTTCGGAGATGAACCTCCAAGTGAATCATAAAGACGAAATTACCGCTGACAGTAATCATACAGTGACGATAGCGACGATTTCATAATTGTACTGCTCAATATTTATGAAATTTCATGTATAGGGTCATTTCATATTTTTCAACAGCTCAGAGGGTTTATCATCGAATGATAAGAGGAAACTTGAATTCTTACTAAATTTTGAAAAATTGTTTCCAGATGAACCGATTGAGTATCGTGAATGGAACATGCACCTTATTTATTCAGAACAGAAGTGGAAACTTCACCTTTGAGATATTATAAATATAAAGGTTGCTGCTATTTTAGTCAGTTTTGTTTGTTTATCAAGATAAAATTTGGAATCCAAGATGGTAAACCCTGTAAATTAAGAAGGACGATTCAAAATTGTAATATTATGCTGACGTAAGTATCTTTGATATAAGTTATTTATTATTATTATATTCATTTATTAGGCGACAAATTATTAAATATACAGGGTGATTTGAAATTTCAAGATTTCCGGTGTTTGTTTGCCATACGAAAATAATACTAGGAGAGCCAGCTGCAGATTTCTACCCTCATCTGATAACGAAATGATATATGTCTCGAAGGAAAGTAAAAACGTTGTAGTTCATCGAACGGCACCTATGCCAATCACTATCCCGAGCAGAATAATTAAGAAATTGCACTTTCCTATGCGGAGATTTGTACTCGATTTCGCGATTTGATAACGAGATAAGAATTATGCTATCCGATACCAATCAAATGGTGCTCCTATCATTCCGGACATGCTTTTGTCATGTGATAACGAGTTGAAACAAGAAGCATATGAGAAGACAAAATGTCCCTTTTGCGAATATCCAAACGTGCCGCGATTCAAACTGATCTGAGTTAGTAGCAGAGCGTCAATATTTCCGTGAATATTTCGCCCTTGCTAAATGATAATATCCGATGGACCAGTGTGGAACTCATGTGCTGCTCACACTACAAGTATTCTAATCTATACCTTTTCAACTTCAATTTCGGAATCGGTGAGTTATATTTCGGAAAAAGTAATCTCGATTTCAGAATTGGTCAGTTCAATTTCAGAAATGGTAAACTCAATTTCAGAATCGGTGAGATGAATTTCAGAAAAAGTCCATTCAATTTCAGAAATGGTGAGTTGTATTTCAGAATTATCATTGGTAGAGGTTCAATTTCAGAAGATGAAATCCTTTTATATGTTTGAAATGTTTTTAATTGCAAAAGAGAAGATTGTTTACAGTGGATGGAACGGTGTTTGAGAGCCCTATGTTGAATCAGATTGAACATATATGGGGTGCCTTCAAGTCAGAAGTGAAGAGCTTCTTGCAAGAGCATCGCCAAAGGGTCATAGCTGGAGATCCGAACAGATTGCTCAACCAGATAGAATTCAGACTGCGATGTCTTGAAGAATGTGCAGATCATTCAATGAAAATGATAACACCTCAAATGTGTTTGCATTCTTATAATCATGTGCAACGCCACTATCTTCCAGCGATTCAGATGGAAGGCATCTGTGGATTAAATTGTTTTTGAAAAGTTGAATATTTCAAATATGGTTTGTTAATATGACATGCAATTGGAAACATTTCGAACAAATACAAGGATTTTTTTTATGATATTGAACCTACCAATTCTGAAATACAACTTACCATTTCTGAAATTGAATGGACTTTTTCTGAAATTCATCTCACCGATTCTGAAATTGAGTTTACCATTTCTGAAATCGAACTAACCAATTCTGAAATCGAGATTACTTTTTCCGAAATATAACTTACCGATTCCGAAATTGAAGTTGAAAAGGTATACATGTTGAGTTTCACACTGGTCCATCGGATATTATCTTCAGAGGCGGGGCGAAATATACTCGGAAGTTTTCACGCTCTGTCACTAACTTAGATCAGTTTGAATCACGGCATGTTTGGGTTTTCGCAAAAATAAATCGCTGTGCGGTGGATTTGGCTCAGACTGAGGATTGGATGGCATAATTTTTATCTTGTTATCAAATCGCGAAATCAAGTGCAAAATTTCCTCACAGGAAAGTGCAATTTCTCAATCACTTTGCTCAGGATAGTGATTGGCACAGGTGCCGTTCGATAAACTACAATGGTTTCACATGCCTTAGGGACATATATTATACAGGGTGAGTCATCACTGTGGCAGAGTGAGATAACGGCTTTACTGTTTGAGATAGATGAATAAAAATTTCAGAGATGATCGAGGATCATGAGCAGCACATATTCATATCATTTCGCTTTATACAGGGTAACTCAGAAATGCGTGACGTATCAAAGTTATACTTTTTCTCATGGGATACCTTGTATTTCATTGCATTCTCGCATTCTCCTTAGTGAGCTGATTTCATCAATGCATACACTTGGGGTCTAGCGAGAATGATTACAGAGATATAGATTGTTCAAAATCGAGATTTTTAAACTTAAGGAATTTTTTGGGGGTAAACTATTCAGCATTGGTCAAAACGGCTTTCATATCCCTATTCCAACTTTTGATAAACTATCTAGTGACATTTAATTGGAACAAATACAGGGTGGTACAAGATTCAGCATTCTGGTCATCCATGTATCTGTGCCAATTAAATGTCAGTAGATAGTGAATCAAAAGTTGGGATAGGGATATGAAAGCCGTTTTGACTAACAATTAATAGTTTCGACGCAAAAAAATACCAAAGTTGAAAAATCACGATTTTGAACACCCTATATCTCTGTAATCATTCTCGCTAAACTCCTAGTGTGATACATTAATGAAATCAGCTCACAAAGGAGACTGCGAAAATGCAATGAAATACAGGGTGTCCCATTAGAAAAAGTATAACTTCGATACCCCACACATTTCTGAGTCACCCTGTATGAAGCGAAATAATTTGGAAATGTGCTGCTCATGATCCTTGATCATCCCTGAAATTTTTGTTCATCCATCTCAAACAGTAAAGCCGTTATCTCACTTTGCCACATTAATGACTCACCCTTTATATCATTTAGATATCAGATGACGGTCCAAATTTGCAGCGTTACAAGATTCCGGCTGAATTTGAAACAGGTTAGTTTAGGGTTCTCATTATACAGTATATCGAGTGATTCTGAGAATCTACAGTAAGATATTTTTTCAGGGGTCAAGCCTTTTTTCGCTTCATAAACTGCCTTGTGGTGCGCAACTGGTAGATATTGAAATATAAAATGAGCTTCGTTTCGTTTGTGAACTTTTTTGTCTCTTGTAACTTTAATGCATCTGCGACCGTTTATTCGCGCTCATCAAGGTCATTATATAACTTTCCGATGACATTTGAAACCATACGGGAAAACTCCGCTTCGCGTCGGGAGACCACACAACTTCTAGCTATCTAATACTTTTTTTACCTTGTATAATCAATATCTATTTTGTGATTTGCTAGATTCAATCAATATTTTCAACAAAAGGGAGGAACCTATTATCACAATTGAAACAAAACAGCTACATATTCAGTTTGTGATCTTGATCACATGTTTTCAAATATAACCTAAAGAATAAGAAACCGCACAAACCTCGAATTTTTATAGTCGAAATTTCAACGCTCAATACATCGGTAACGAAGCCTGTGTGGGCACATACTCATAGAAAATAGTTATTTAGCGGAGTTCGGCAAGTCATCAAGGTTGGAAAAGTACTAATTTCCACAAAAGTTTTTCCTGCACTGAAAAATAATGAAATATATTTTGTTTTCATCGATATAATAGGAAACTTATTTGAAGAACATTTAAATTACAATAACTAAAACATTAACATAACGATGGCAAATATTGAAATTTAAAGTGCAATTTGTGTTTGTTGCGGGCTGTAATATAGCAGATGCCGCAAAATCTTGAAGAACGCCGTTTCTTATTTGAATTTGATTGATTGTGTTTGCATCAATTATTTCCGGGAATAGATCTTGAAAGTTTCTTAAGTTGTCCATTCTTAATTGGAATTAAGTACACGGAATAATGACGCTTGAAATGCTTATTTGTTGACTGCCACTACTGTCAGTTTATAGCGACTGTTATCACCACATATTATATCTCCTGGTATTTCCTTTGAAATCGTGCGGAAAAGTGAAAATAATGCGGAAAAGTTACGTTTACGCACGCTCGTGGGAAAACAGTCTAATTTTGACCTGGAAAATAAGTTCCTGAAATCTTGATATTGTGTTTAGAAATACCCTGTATAACAAGGCCAATTGTAATATGTATAAGGTAGCAGTTAGGTGTCTTTTTGGTTACCTGGTTACTGTGTACCAAATTTTTTGTCTCTATATTTATTGGAAACTTCTGCCTCTTTCTGCTGGATTCGATTTTGATGAACAGTACTTAAAAATATATCTCTTAGAATTGTTAAGGTACCTATTACATTTCGATATTGTGACATTGGTTGACTACTGGTATAAATTTCTCAGGCCTCTTTTTATAGTAGATATAGTTGAATGTTGAATCAAGATTTCTGCAGGTGTAGTATATTGACGAGTGATTCATGGACATTTTGATAGGAATACTCATTTCGCAAGATGAACGACATTCTGGAAATTTTAGAATAGTTTGTCAATATAACAATCCATTTCAGCAAACATTTAGTTGTAATCAATGTATATATTTCATAAATAATATATGTATTTATCACCATGGGTAGTTTTTTAATATTTTGCGTACTTAATGTAGAGTCATTATACCTACCTATATAAAATCGGCACATATTTCACCAAGTAGATCCAGTTTCCCTATGGAGCCGATTAGATCACTTGGTGAATGATCTTTCAGGTCTGAGTATGAAAGTGGAACCTTCCGAACTAATCCGAACTAATCCGAACAGAGGAAACCTGATTCAGGTAGCGGGGGGAAAGTAGCGTCTGGGGAGTACACTTGCCATACATTTCAGAATGGTGGGGCTAGTTGCGTTGACAAGAGTCTCGAGATCATACCCGTGTGTTCACCGAACACGCTCGATCGTTACCTAAGCGGTGGGGAGACCGAGACGTAAGCAGGCAGTCCTGATACAATGAGTGGGCAGGCAGCTTCTCTCATGCTGTCTTTGTTTTTGTAGTACGGGGTGGGCCACCAACAGTTTTCTTGATCAGATTTCAACATTTTTTTTTCGAATAAATAAGAAACATTTGATAGGCATCAAGTGATCTACTGCGACCTATCAGATAATGAAAGCGATGATTTGATTTGCAATAACTCGCTATGTCCGA